GGCAAATATTAACATTTTTACCTATTCTTTAATTAAATGACATACTACCTTCTTTAGTAACGAGGAAAAACCAAACAGGAATGATAGGATACTTGGGAAAGTTTCCCAGCAAGTAAAACTGGTGAGTAAAACATCAGTGATTCAGCTCTAGCACTAAAGACTCTCCCATTCATCATCTGTTCAGTACTCACATTAACCCTGCCAAGGGAGTAACCCACTTTAGACAGAGGGAAAATGAGTTTCTGTAGGGTTAGTTTGCCCCAGGTTAAATGATAATACAGAACAGTTAATACCTACCAATAATAAATAAACCTAGGTCTCCAAACCCAATCCAAAGTTCCCATTGTCCCCTAAGAGAAGAGGGCTATGGGGGAAGGCAGGGAATTAACAGGTTCCAGCAACTTTCCTCCCTCACCTTACCCTACTCCTATTCCTTCCTCAGCATTCAGCAGCACTTCGGACAGAAGGCAGATCTCATCCAAACAGCTGCTCCAGATGTTCTCCCAGAGGACCAGGAGTCCATACCGTTGCCCTGCCCAAATACCCGACTCCCTCCCGTACCATCCAACCGTATAAAGTCCCAGTGTCATGCCCCCACAACCACAGTCCTCCTGATCCCGACCACCACCTGGCATGAATGCTCCTCAGGAGCCACAGTAGCCCAGAAAGCCTAAATCACCTGTGTTCACACTGTTTCCCTTCATGCAATCCCTTCCTTCCCAGCTCGCAGACTCACAGGAGAGGCCTCCAGAGGCTCATGCCTGGACCCCACTGCAGACCTGCAGTAGCAGGACATCTTAGGCAGGGAGGCGCTTTCTGAGATCACTCTACCAGCCAGTTAGGAAGCACTGACCTCTAGTAGGGCCAGCCTTCTGGCTCACTAAGCCCAATACCAACTCTAGGGACAAAAGAGAATCCCCCCCCCAACCCAATGCCTAATGACCACTCACATCTCTGAACTCCAGAAGCAATTACTGTCTGCACCACCCTGTTGCGGAGCAGTGCTCCCACCTACTATTACTGTTGTATGTATTCATCTGGTCTCCTAGATTATATTCTTCTCGAGTGCAACAATTTCACCTTATATTTCTCCATAGAGCACAACATTTTGTACACAGCAGCCCTCCAAAATAGCAATTTTTTTTTTTAACAAACATGAAGACTTTATCTTTCTCCTAGCCAGATTTAGGATGTACAGCAGGAAAAAAGGGAAGCCCCAGGGCCAGACTTGATTCACTCAAAATTAAGGAGTGGCCCGCAAAGAAAACCTCAGAAACCAAGGGCACCACACTTAAAAGTCACTGCAGTTGGTGCTCTGCACCCTGTGTCCATTAGGATTCAAGGATGAGTCAGGCTGCAGGCATGAGAAGAACGAACAGACCCATATACAGCAGACAGTCCTCCAATTTTAAGCACTCGAGACTAGTTCCTCCAACAGAATTCTCGATGTCTAGCAGAACACCCTCCTTAAACAGGGTCTGGATGAGGATGGGTGGATGGAGATGGAACAGCCAAAACATTTTCACCCATCAGTGATCAGAAGCAGAAAAACATTTTTCCACTAGAGGAAAAAAAAAAAAAAAAGAAAAAAAAAACCGCCATGACTAAGTGTAAGCCTTTAAATATCTGTTTATTGAGGACATTTCTGGTATTGTCACACCACTCCACTGTCCAAAAAAATTTATTTGTTTAACCTGAAAAAAAGCTCAAATACAATGCCAAATAAAATAGCCCCATCACACTACAAAATGCTTATTGCAGAGAAAGCTTTAGTGACTTAGGATCTTTCCTTCCCTTTTCCTTTCTTCTTTTTGGGGGAGTGGGTGGAGGTGGGGGAAAAATTTAGCTGATTTTTATACAAAGCTATAAACATGATCTTTCCACATTTTTCTCACCAGATGGGAGTTTGTCAAGCCACAGGTCACCTAGCAACTTAAACACCACTCTGCAGCTAGCCAGCTACCCAATTCTTCATACAAAACTTACTTTGTCCTATTAAACAATAAGCGATAAAGAAGAGAGAATAAGAGTTAAAGCAAGTGTTAATATGTGTTTGCTTCATAATCACCTTAAGTGAGGTGGGAGAAAAGGGAAGAAAGACTAAAGTTTAATCTTAACCTTTACCTAACAATTTAAGAAGAAAAAACACCAATGAAGACACTCAGCCTCTGACAACATCTGAGCTCAGGAGTCTTGTGATTCAATGATTAAACTTTGTGTACTACAAAGCCCATCTTAAAATTCACCCACTGAACTATGAATTGCACTGAAAGAGCCTTTAAATAATTTTAGAACGCCCTGACTCATCTGACTCCTCCCTCTCATTTATATCCAACTCCAATGCTACCATCACCCTGAGAATCACCCTTGCTTCCATCTACACCTGATCTCACACTTTAGAGGGTAACTGATCTCACACTTACCCTCTAAAAATTCAGCTCAAGGGACGGGTGGCTCAGTTGGTTAAGCAACTATCGACTATCGTCTTTGGCTGAGGTCATGATCCTGGAGTCCTGGGACTGAGTCCGTTGGGCTCCCTGCTCATCAGGGAGTCTGCTTCTCCCTCTGACCTTTCCCCCTCTCATGCTCGCTCTCTTTCTTTTTCTCTCTTTCAAATAAATAAATAAAATCTTTAAAAAATACAAATAAAACTCAGCTCATATGCCCCTTCTCTTAGGCATGCCTCCCCAGACTCTTAAGAAAACTGCACTCCCTTTTCCATCTTCCCAGGTCACTGGGAAACAACTACACTAATATTTAAAACCAAGGTCCAGATCTATCACTAAGAGTCCTCAGTTACATCTACCAACATCACAGACACATTCCCTTCTCCCTGCACCACAGCATGATAGTCTACAACACGTTCACCTTCAACAGAGCCTCGTGTCCTAGACCCTGACACTCCCAACTTCCACAAAGCAGCCAGTGGGCTCCCTAGATTTCCAGCACCCAGAATGATGCCTTTAACACAGTAAATGCTTAAAAATTTCTGTACAAGGAATGAATGACTCAATCAAATCAACGACTACAGTTTTATCTCCCAAACAGGCTTTTCAACCAAAGTCCATGGTGTGCATAGTGAAAGAGAACTAATTTTAACCATGTAAAATGAAACGAAATGTCCTCTCTGTTCAGTAACACAAGCACACTGCCTAGATTGTATTATTGTATTTCTCTTCCCTTTCACAACTTATTTTGGTCTCCAAAATGCATATGCAACCGGATTATTGATTTAGAACATTTAGATCATAAACTGCCATTCATAAACAATCTTTTAAAATGCTAAATGTAGGTTTTAGAGAGTTCTGTTTCCCCTTGTCAGCACTGTAAGATAAACAGGTGCCCAATTTCCACTAATTTTATTTAATTTTCAATAACAGTTAAACCAACTGTAAGGAACATTTTAGAGCTGTTAAATATAGTCAACATCTTCCATCTTTCTGTCAGGTTCCTAAATGTTCCCCAGATGACCTACAAAAGGCCAAATTTACGCTATTCTATCCAATATATACTAAAAACCAAACAACAGTGTAGAAAGTTTTTCTCCCTTAATTTCAGAGAGAATTGGAGGACGCAGCTTGCATACACCGAGGTAGGCAAAGCCACAGGTCCCTCTTGTCTGCTGACCCACAGCCTGCACAGGAGCTAGGCCACTCCACCACCAGAAACATGAGAAATTTTTTAAGTGAACGTGCTTTCCACCAAACGTTACTCTACAGCGAAGGAAATATCCTCAGGTGCTTGACAGAAACTTCGGAGGCGTGGGCTGTTGTCAAACAGACAGCAGATAAAACAATTTAACAAAATGCCTTTTCACTTCTGACACATTGTAGAGGAATGCAGTTAAGTGGAGACAATGTTATCACTCCACGAAGAAAAAGGGAAATCTACTCCACTCCGAAATCGGGCCCCAGCTCCGCAGCCTCAGCACCATACGGAACTAGTTCCAGATAGGTATACGCTGAGGTCCTTGGCAGGAAAACTTTTAATTCAGTGACTGATTTCAGGGTTGTGCCTTTTAAAGGAGTCCTCCTGCACGGGAGCCTCCCAAGCACCGAGATTCCGTCCCCAACCAATGTCCGCGAGCCCATGGGAGCGCGCGACCCTCTCGGGGCTGCCGGCGACTGTCCCCCACCAGCTGCCCCCGAACCGCGCCGGGGCGGCCCTGCCCGCGGGCGACCGGGAGGGAAGGGCTCGTGGCTTCGGCTCCTTCCCCCGCCCGGACGAAGGCAGTGTTGGAGCACAAACGCCCGGCTCTCCGCCGTGTGGGGAATAATTAAACTCTCCTCCAACCAAAAAAGTTCCCTTTCCCCAGCCTTTGCCGCGGGGCCTGGGAGCGGGGAAAGGCCTGAGGCTGGATTTCCACCGCCTGCAGCCGGGGGAGAGGCGTCCGGCCAGGCTTCGCCCGCGCTCCGGAGGGCTGGGTTCGGGCTCGGCCCCTAACAGGCTCCGAAAGGGCTCCTGTGGCCGACGCCCGCCCAGCGGCTGGAGCCCCGAGGGAGAGGCGGCCTGCGCTCGGCCCGGGAGGAGCCGCGGGGTCCGGCGCGCTCACCCGGGGCTGCGCCCGCGCCCGCCCCACCGGCCCGGCCCGCGCGGAGAACTTTGCCGCCCGCAGCTCGGGGCGGGGGGCGCCCGCGAGGCCCCGGCCGGGCCGCCGCACTTTCCCTTTCCCCGCCTCCCCTCCGTCTCCCTCCTCCCCTTTCCAGGAAGCGCCATATTGATCCCGGCGCCTTCCCCCTCCTCCTCTTCCTCCTCCCTCTCCTCCTCCCCCCTTCTCCCGCCCCCACCCCCGGCGCCCCGTGCGCCCCCGGCCCCTCACCTTGGCGATGGCCTTCCGGTAGCGGGTCACGGCTTGCTGGATGAGGCTGAAAACTTTCATGTGGCCGTCTCCGCACGGCACGACCACCCGGGTCCTCCCGAAGCACACGGTCACTTTCATGCCGCCGCCGCCGCCGTCGCGGGCCGGCCCGCGCCCCTCGCTGACCGCGGCCGGAGCGGCCCCGGGCAGGGGCGGCTGGACGCTAGGAGCGGTGGGGCCGCTGCACCCGCGCGCGGGAGGCTAGGGGCGCGGGCAAGCGGCGGCGCCGGGGGGCCGCTCGGCTAGCATGCCCGGCCCGGCCCGGCCGCCCTCGCCTGGCCCGGAGCTCTCCTCGCCTCTCCCCCGCTGCAGCGCCCGCAGCCTCCGGCCACCTGTTCGGCGTCTCGGCGCGCTTGACGGCGGCGGCCCGGGGCTGTGTGGCGCTCGCGCTCACTCGGGGCCGCTGGGGGAGGGGCGGCGGCGAGGGGAGGGGAGGAGGAGGAGCAGGGCCGGGCACACAACACCGCGCACATGCGGCAGGGGGAGGCGCGGCCCGCTCCCCGCGCGGGGCGGAGCGCACGCCCGCGGGCCCACGCCCCCGCCGACTCCCTCCCCGGGGCGCGGGCGGCCGCGGGACCCCGACTGCACTGCCCGCCCCGGCCGGCTGCCTTCCGCCTGGGCCAGCCCTTTCCCGGGCGCCGCCGCGGAGGTGGAGGCCGGGTTGCCCCTCCCCCCGCCTCGCCGACCCCCGCGCTGGGCACCGCGGCCCCCACCCGCCCCCCTCAAGCGCTCCGACGCGCTGCGGGGCTCGCGCTGAGCCCCTCCTCCGGGGCGCCGCTCCACACCCCCCCATCCCCGAGGTCTCTCCAGAGCCCACCCCCTTTCTTTGTCACTTTTAATCCCCTTCCTCAGGCTAGGGTGTTCGGGAGAAATCGTTTCTAGAGAAAGCACTTTACTCTTGGCGCCGCGGACTCAATGCACAGGGACTCCTGGAGAGGAGCCGTCCCCACGTTCCCCCAGAAGGATGGGGACGGGGCTGGGCCGGGATGTTCCAGCGGAGGTATCTCCCCCGGCGGGGGCTCTCGTGCCGCAGACAGCTCTCCCCCCACCTCGGGCCCGCATCTTGGCAGGGTTTTTGCACTGGCTGGCTTGCTCGGCTGCAAGGCCGGGCTGAGGTTGTTACGCGTTAAAAGCAAAAATTAATCGTCTGCCTTGGGGAGAGGTTGGTGAAGCTTTGACTCGACCCGGCCATTCTCTAGAAGCCGTACTATTTACCCTGAAGTTTCCTGTGACCGGGTGATGACCCACCCACTTCAACATGTAGATTTAAACATCTGCAATTCCCATAATTTTATTTCTTAAAATTCTGCAACACAAGCAATCCTAACGCAAATTCATGAACAATACATTCAGAATGCCTGTGGGGAAGCTGTGCAAGGGGATCCCCACGATGCGCTGGCGCTTAACTCGGGCACTTAAGCACCAGGAAGAGAAAGCAACTCTGTAATGAGTTACATGCATGCGGGACCTGAGACATTTTTTTTTAAAAGTGGATGGTGTCAAGAAAAGCAACTGGAGCTCCTCTCTGTCTTAGTTATGAGCTACGATTCCTTAATAACGGTATGTCACTGTGTTTACAGAATGACAAAAGTCAGCAAAGAGTCTTTTGTTCATGTCTGTCCTAAATGGTAGTAAATTCATTTTTTCCAGTTATTCCTAGAATATGTGAATTAACAACTGCCTTGAGCTCACATGGAACGTCAGCATTTACAGCAGGAAGAGCAGGTGATCACCCTTCCATCCCAACCCATGTCCCATTTTAAAAATAAGGAAACAGATCATGTGCTTTCCAGACTCCCTAGCACTTTCCCCTGCCCGACACTGCCCCAGGTATAATACAATTTGTCATTTAAAAAAAAAAATATATATATATATATATATATATATATTTCCTCTCATCTACAGTCCTTGACCAATGTACTCATCGGTCCTGGCAAACCAGTGCAATAAGCAGGTGCTGGGTGTCATCATCACCATCTTACCTCAGGATATCCCCTGAATGTTGAAGTCCCTTGCCCAAGGCCACAGAGAAAGCTTGAGGCAGACCCAGAAATAGAGTCCCCATTTCCTTCCACACATTCATGGGAAAGGCTCATTATACTCCTATTTGGCTGGAACGTTCCACATTTCTACCCAATAATTAAGTTTGTGATAGTTTGTAACTATGATAACAACTCATGCTGAGGTCTTCTTGCTTCTTGTACTAATAGTTGGGTCCACACAATTACCCATAATTGTAGATGTTGTTTCTGTTTTAATGCATGGGGGAGGGAGGAGTATACTAGTTTAGAGTGGGGCTTTCTCAAAATAATTCTGATTGAAAAATAAGTTGCAGAGCACATCAGACACCAGAAGTCTCTAGATTCAGATCCTGACTCTACCAATTTACCAGCGCCTAGACATGGCACTCAGTCTGTCTCTAGCCTCAGTTTTATCAGCTGAAAATTGGACTGATGATCTCTGTCTCATCATTTATATGGGTTAAATGAAATAAAGTGGGGTGTCTGGGTGGCTCAGTCGTTAAGCATCTGCCTTCGGCTTAGATCATAATCCCAGGGTCCTGGGATCGATCCTGCGTCAGGCTCCCTGCTCAACAGAAAGCCTGCCTCTCCCTCTCCCACTCCCCCACTTATGTTCCTTCTCTCGCTGTGTCTCTCTGTGTCAAATAAATAAATAAAATCTTTTTTAAAAAATGTTTTTAAGTCTACTTAACTAGCTTAAGTAGCTTAAAGTTTCATTTAAATCAACCTAGTTTTTCTAGATATAGTGATTCCCTTTATGTTAATAATTGATGAAAAACTAATATTGTGTTAATTTTTGATACCAGACTCTTGGGTATCTTGAGTCAAATTCATAAAATTTCCTCACAAATAGTGACTCTACTCTCACCAATGTGCTTCACTAACATCTAACCATGAAGATCCATTAGAGCCAGGCTACCTAATCGGTTCTGGCCTAAGTGGACAAAAAAACAAACCCTGTCCTAATGAGAAGCAAAATCCTCAAAGTCAAGGGTGGAATGTTATATAAATATTTTCTGGTGTGTTTACTCTCTTAAATTCAGCATATATCAGGTGGAAAAAAATTGTAGCCCTTATCCTATTTGTACTTCTCCTTTACAGTTGATTGATTTGATTGGTTTTGAAAACCTCAGAGAATTCTGAGAATTAATTGGGATCCACCTGTGTTTTGTGCCTATCTGCAAATGAAAATGGGCAGGTGTGACCACCTGGACGATAATCTCAACCGTATCTGGCAGCACTCACGTGCCCTGTGAAATACATACACCACATGGGCACAAACAGTATCCTATTACCTGGCATCTTCCCCTTAGAAATGTAATAATTAAGAATTAAGAAGACATTTACAAGAGTTTCTGAAATTCGGTCATACATTGAAAATTGAAGTTATCTCTGGGATATTTCACCCACATATTGAGTGCCTCTCCATAAGTATTAAATTTAAGATCGTGTTAACATTTGCACAAGCACAGCCTAATAGAAGAATCAGATTAGTATTCACCAAATGATTTTTGTCCACCTCTTTGTACCAAGCACTGCACTGTAGGCTGGGTGTGTAAGTTCCTCTCATTTTTTTTTTTTTTAAGATTTATTTATTTATTTGACAGAGATCACAAGTGGGTAGAGAGGCAGGCGGGAGGCGGGGGGTGGGGGGGGTAGCAGGCTCCCTGCTGAACAGAGAGCCCACGCAGGGCTCCATCCCAGGACCATGAGATCATGACCTGAGCCAAAGGCAGAGGGTTTAACCCACTGAGCCACCCAGGCGCCCCTATAAGTTCCTCTCTTACGAGGTGCTCAGTCTAGTAAGGGCTTCAGACGTGAACAGGTAGCCACTGGAGAATGTGATAGGTGGTGGCCTCCAGAGAAAATGTGAACTCCTTCTGGGAGGAAAGGGAGAAAGGTGGAAGCAGGCCATCTAGAAGAAAGCAGTCAAGAGAAGCATAAAGTGAACCCCCTTTGTCTCTTCAAATCTTCAAGTAGCTGCAGAAGAAATTAAGTTTAATGATATATCTTATTTAACCTAGTAGATCCTAAATATTATCATTTCCACATGTAATCAGCTTTTCAAAAATACTAATGATGTTTTTCGTACACCTTTAACTATGAATTCCTCATGACCTCCACGTGTAGTTTATCCTTAGAGTACATCTCGGTTTGAACCAGCCCTCCATATTCATCCACTCATGCATGACTCATTCATCAAACACTGAGTAACTAGCATGTGTCCAATCTCTTGAGGGTTCAGTGGCTGCATGTGGCTGGTGGCTACCGTACTGGACAGCATAGCTGCGGAGGACGGGATCACTGATGGCTGGAAGCCACGGGCACCATCAAGGAACTTACACATGGATCCAGCTCTTTGGGGGCACAGACTATATTCTTCACAGAACTTCCCCAGAATTGCTCTGGGGTGGGGGAAAAGAGGACTTCTCGACATAGATATGAATCGTGTAATAGTACAGCGGTGTTTAAGGGAAAAAATGCAAAGACTGGGGGAAATCAGAGCTGCACGTGGGCTCAGTCGAGCCTCCCTGATGTGCAACATTAAACATAAGTCTATTAACCGTGGTTTTTCTAACGAAACAGGAGCTTGTATGAATTGGATGGGTGAGAGAAATGGCCAATGAAAAGGGAAAAAAAAAAAAAAAAGCAAGAAAGGAAAAGAATAAGAGAGGAGAGGAGCCTTAATGATGCCCAACCTGCTGAAAGCAGTCATCAGACACGAAAAGTACAGGGAGTGACTCGGTTCACAACAAAAGTAAATTGTATAGGACAGAGTTGGCCCTGCCAGGCTTCCTCAGGCCATCTCCTTTCCCCCTCACATCCAACGCTGCGTCTTCACCCTAGAGGCTAGTATGATCCAAATGGCTCCAAAGGACACCTGACTCACCAGCTTGTGATTACAGGATGAAGCAGTATTTACTTTTATGCCCTGACCACACATATCCAAGCCCTCACCTGCAAAATATTGCAGGGTTGCCCTCAACCAATCTATCAGCTCTTGTCCCCACATTCTTGCTTTCCTGTTCCAGTTCCCAGGAACAAGTGGAAGTGTGTCAGCATTGCCCTGTTGATATAGCCCATGTTGAAAAAGCTGGCATCCAGGTTGAGCTCACCACTTCTGGATGTCCCCGGTGTCACTCACCCAGCGTCAGAGACTCAGAAAAGGCCTGGGTCACCTGCAGAAACCTCAGAGACCTAGAAGGACCTGGGTGGCCCGCCATCTTTTTGACAGCTGTCATGGCCCATCACTCAGAGCCCAGGTTCCCTAATCAAATGCGTCTGTCCTTCCCAGGCTCCAATGTCAGAGAACAAGGGAATTTGTTGATGAAGTCAATGAAGACATACCCACCAGGGCACAGAGCAGGGGAGAGGCTGGACCAGATGGTAATATTAAACTCAACTACAGTAAAGAGAGATCTGTAGAAAGACCAAGCAAAGGAGTCTTAGCCATTTATTTCCTGGAGGTCCAGCGTGACCCAACGCACATTGGATTCTGAGCATCCAGGGGCTGGAGAGGCATTTCCACATGATGCTTTATAAATGCCACTCTTTTCGGCTAAATCTTTTAAAGCGACGTTCAGGGTCAAATTCTCTAGCAAGGCCTAGAATGCTGACCTTGTAAATTGCCAGGGAAGTCAGAGGTGTAGGTAACAAGATTGCTACTGTCTATGGAGTTTCGGAATCTGAACTGGGATTCTCCGCAGGCGAGGAGACCATTCTGCCTTCTCTCCAATGTGGGCAGGGTTCTACCAGGAACACAAAGTACCGT